TAGCATCAAGGAACTGATTTTAGGCGATGAGGACATGAACCTCATCCTTGCCAAAGTGAATCGCTTGGAAATTGTGAAAGTAGCATCCGATGGATTAAAAGTGGTACAAGAAGTCCCAGTCTTTGGGAGGATTGAAACCATAAAATTGTTCAGGCCTAAAGGCGAGGTGTGCCAATCTTTTTCCTCTCCTTAAAGGGAAGGATGCCATGTTGAATCAGAAATGTAAACAAACTATCATTCGGTTTAGGCGTCAATTTGGTTGCGCATTGAAGAAGTTAGGAAATGTTCTTTTGCTGAAAATGACGTGCAAACGGCGCAGAAGCTTTTTTTTTTTTTGGTGAAAAACCCCAATAACAAGCTTCCTAGTCGTTGTTTTGAGTCTAAACCAAACTTCCTCACCTTGCTCCATGAAGAAGAAAATTAACTTCTATGATTTCTTTCGCTTCGTTAGGGATACGACAGGAGATTTCAAATTACCGAGCTGCACCTATCATCAACGATATCTGCTCCAACTAGTATCCTTTCGCTTGGGAAGAGGTTTACAATCCTTCATTTTTCTTTTAATAGAATCGCGACAGCCTTCTAATTCTCACGGCAAAGAATCATCTCGCAATTGTTGCATGGGATGTTGAGAAGAACGAATTGATTACCAGAGCTGCCGGAAGTGTATGTGATCGCGTTGGCAGACCAAGTGACTATGGACCTATTGCATGTGTGAACAAATCTGGTGTAAGCGAAAAGCCTTATGTTTAAATTTAATCTACATGAAGCGTTTAGTATTCTAGTTGATCGCTCTGCGGATTTACGACGGAACACTCAAAATTATTCAGTGGGAAGATAATAAAGACCTGAAGTCATTTAATGTGCGATTTGAGGACCTTGCGATTGTGGATTTAAGCTTCATTGAATCTCAAGGTACCTTAATTTCAATGTAAATTTTGTAAATATTGCTATAATTTTGTTAGCAAGATCTTGTCGTCATGGCCGTGAGGTTCGTGTTCAAGCTAGAATTTACTTTTCCGTTCTTTCTAGCGAAAAAATTGCATTGAATCAAAGTCTATCACGTAGTTTGATTCCACAA